CCCCAAAAAAAAAAAACTATCCCCAAAACCCAAAAAATGCCTGCGGGCACCCCCCCCCCCGCCTCTGCCCCTGCCTTGACCCACCGCTGGAAAGCCCCATCAAGCTGTGACCCTCCTCTACCCTTCCTCAGCTCCCCCCACCCCCCGGCCAGGATGTTCCAGAAAAAGGTGGTGTCCACCTCCCCTACCCGACTCCGGGGGCTTCTTGTCTCCCACGTGGACGATGGTACTGCTGAAGCTGCACTGACTGGTCACCGAGACCACACTCTCGGCTTTGCTAGGCAAGGCCAGTGGCGTGAGAGAGCCTCCCACCACGGCAGCAGCTGCCGTCCCGGGCTGTTCCCTCTTGGCCGGGCTCTCGGAGGCCGGAAGCATTTCCTCGGGCGCATCTGTCCAAAGAGACAGGGCTGGGTTAGCACAGCGGGAAGGGGGTCGGAGCCTCCGAGAAGCACTGGCCGCCAGAACACAGGCCTCGAGGTGCTAACGCCTTGGCCGGGTTTACCCCGCGGGGCAGCCCAGGCCACAGGGCGGCCTTCCCTGGCGAAGCGGGAAGCAGCCATGCCTGGCTGACCCCCAGCCCCAAGGGAGACCTTTCGCTCCCGGAAGAGGCCAAGCAACAGCTCCAGGGCCCCCAGCCTGGCGGTCCAGGCAGGAGCAGCAGCAAAACCACGTCCCCATTCCGGCCACAAAAGGAGACGGCCGCTGGGAGCATAACCAGGAGGGACTTTCTGGGCTTCCTGAACCAGGAGACGGAGAAGCGTAGAAGCAGCACCTCGTGGAGGAAGCTGGGGAGCTGGGAGGGGAGGAACCCCACCTTTGCTCTGGGCGGCCACCCGCTCGCGCACTTTCTGCTTGTCGTCATCAGAATTGGAGGAGGTGGTGTAGGAGGACGACCCACACTTGCGCTTCACCCGGTTGGGGATGTTACAGCTCTCCAGATACCTATATGGGGGCAGAGAGGGGGGGAGATTTGAAAAAGCAGCGAAGAGCTAAATGAAAGGGCTCTCTTCCTCGGGGTGGGGAACTCAGGGCTGTGCTCCAAACCCCCCATCCTTTCCTCGACGTATAACCAGCGGAGCAGAAATCGAGCGCTGGCCTGGCCCCGGGATACGAAGGAAGAGTTTCCAGGGAGAACGCCGAAGCTCGCCAGCAAAACCGCCTGCGCAACCCGGCAGCTTTAAGCCGAAAGGGGAGCCAGTCGTAATTTCACGGAAGCCTCACCGGATGATGCCGTCGAGGCAGTTGATCTGCTGGTAGGAGTAGTTGGAAGGCTCCTTCCTCACAGAGTCCTCGGACGCCGCCGCCTTGCATGGCCTCTTCTCCGCGTCCTTCAGGGCCTCCTTCGACTGCCCAGTGCGACTGATGGGCGGATCCAGAGCTGGAAAAGGAAGGCGGTGGGGGGAGAGCGCCCTTGAGCCGGGAGGAGAAGCTTCCTCAGACCACCCTGGGCCCCCCACCTCTCCCTCAGCAGGTGGAGAAAGTGCACAAGACGGCAAAGCCCACATCTACCGGGACAAAGGCACTGAAAAGGCACATGTGTGTGTGCGTGTGCACATGCAAGGTCACATTACTAAGAAGATATGCAGGGATGGCTAGCAGCCCCTTCCTCACCTGGCTGAGAGGGCTTGATGGGCAGAGGCTTGACCCGGGACTCGATGAAGACCTGCTGGCCCTGGTTCTTCACCATGTGGACATCCTTGCAGATCTCCTGGAAGGTCATCTGGGATCCAGAGGAAGGCAGAGTCAGGGCAGCCATAACCCCCAGAGCCTCCTGCTCCACTTGGCCGGGCTACATGTTCCTCCCCTCGGTCCAGGAGTCCCAGGCAACCTCCCAGGCCTAGGAGGAGACTGGCTTCCAGATATTCCCCTCCCTCAACCCACCAGGATCGGCTCCATCAGGGGTCTCAAGGGCCAGGTAGAGCAGGCTATTAAACGCGAGAGCTGATTTACGGAGCCACTCTCTTGGGAGATGTGATCTGGAAGGGAGCAAAAGACCCCGAGGGACAACGGGACCCAGTCCTTCCCCGCACTCACCGGCCGGAGAGCCTGGGCCTCCTCCTGGGGGAAGCCGTTGCTGTCACTGGAGGAGGCGATGCTGAGGAACTGCTCATGGGAGGCGTTGCTGCAAAGGCCCAGGGCGCCACTGCTGTGCACCGGCTGGCAACGGCAGATGGGAAGAGGGTTAGAGCCGG